CGGCCCACTTTGTCATCGTGAGCACAATAGCCTTCACGGAATCTACAATGTGTTGAAAACATTGATCATCACGATAGTCATACAATATGTGGTGCACGTCATCTAAAACTTCCAACTGGCCAAATCAAATTGTGGAGGTTTTATTATTTAACGTACATTAATTGTACGTTAAACCCAAAGCTAAATACGTTAAATACCTATTTCATGCGTTATATCACTGGAGTGGGAGGTTAAAGATCCCAACTGCCTCCAGATATTATATACGGATAAGAGCATATATACAAAAATCAAGATACATGTCAGCGGCCACCCCTATGGCCAAATATCCAAACGCCCATGTAAAATGCCGCTAGGTTAAATATCTATTTCAGGACCAATTCATCACCAAATTTGAATCTGAGACGTAGAATTTCTTCACCTCATTGAGATCAATCGATTCTACGTCTCAATTTGCTGAAATTTTGAGTAATGAATATGAAATAGAAGTCAGAAAATTTTGTGAAAAGTTGGTAGTTTATAGATGACGCGCACCATAGTACTAGGTATCTTCACAACATTCATCGCGGTGTTATTTTTGGTCAACGCAGTCGTCTTTCACGCAGTCTACTTCGTGATCGATGTCACGATAGGGGTAATCGCCAACATCTGAGCAAAACTTTGACAACAAGTGAAAACTTTGACAATATGTGATGAAGTACTTCGTACTAGGCGTGCTTAACAAGGACAAAAGTGATGATGGTATTTATTGTAACGTTAATTAACGTCATTAATCAATGTAGTAAAGACAAACCAACGGCGGATGGAAAGCAATGTGAGGTGCCCGACGAGCGCAATGGAGACATGACGAAGGCACTTCCCGAGTGAAACGCCATTCCCCTTTCAATATTGAGTTTGGTTACTTAGGGCCTGTTCTAAGTAGATGTTTAAAGACGTGGCCCCAAGTATTGTGGATTCGGTACAATTTCCAGACCCCGTCAAATCGAATCTCGCCACCGAATCGAATCACGAATCGACGCTATTGGCTAATCCATTTTTGAGTGGCATTGATAGACTCCTACCGAAAGGACAAGTATAGCGACGGTGAGGCGTGCAGGAGGCGGTGGCACCAGAGTAAAGGTTCCAAGGGGAATGGGTTAGTGTGATTGGGGAAATACACCTTGAGGCAGACTGTGTCCCAGGTGATTCCAACGTAGAAGGGAAAGTCGGTGGTCATTGTGGGAGGCGTGGGGTTGGCTGGTAGTCTTTGAGTTGGATGTTATCTTTGATCAGCGGGATAGGCGGTGGTCGCGCTTTGGGATGGAGACCAGTTTGGTGCTTGAAAAGGTGATAGGCGACACATTTGTCATAGGAAAGTTGATGAAAGGCGTCGGCGGTAATGTTGGCCATTTGACCGAAGGCAACGTCATGTATTGGACCCCAGCGGTCTTCTTCATCGGAGGAGTAATAAGGGCGCGCAGCACGAGGAGGCAGGGGTTCACTGTAGGTGCCACCACGATGGTTGAGGCGTACGGGTAACTGTCGTGAATCAACGTAATCGGCAGGCGTGGGACGTCGTGTAGTGAGTTTGTTAGAGTTGACAGGCGTACACGGATGATGAATACGATAGGCGGGGAGTGGGGGCAGCAGAGAGTCATCCACCGTGGAAGAGACGGGTGGAAGTGGTATATAGTTTTGTTGAGGTGGAAACTGTGGTCGAACGATGAGTGCTGTGGAGGTAGTCCAAGTGTGGGCGTTAGGCGTGGAGGAAGGTGGAGGACGTGCGTGTTGTTGTGGTTTTGATGCCTTGGTAGTGGATGATGGAGGATTGGGATTTGATTGGGATTGGGAAGGTGTTGACATTTCGCAGGCGATGCTGATGTAGAGCGCCGAAAAAAGGCGGAAGAAGGATGAAAGGTTTGAGACGTGTTCCATCGAGCAGATGGGCGTGATGGAGAAGCGCGACGTTTAGGAGGCGATGAAAGAGCACGACGGGTGGCTGACGAAATGCGAGGATAGGCAGAGGATGGAGGTGATATGGGGCGGCTACGACGGAGTGGGTGGTAAATGATGGGGTAGAAAGGTGTGGATGAGCTCGAGAAGAGCGGCCGGAGGAACGACCTCGCTGTGAGGAACGTGAAGGCGATCAACGAGTAGTAGTTCGGGGAGGCGGTCGAGAGTCATCACGATGGCGCTTGGGATAGCTGCTGTTGGGACCCTGGTCGTTCCCATGGTTGTTGTCGTAGTCGTCGTGATCGCGGCGATGATGCTGCGTATGATCGTCAATGATTTTGCCAGACGACGCGCGTTTCCGACGGCAGTGTGTGTCAACAACGTGCTTGGGAACGCCGGCCTGAATGCGATTTCGACTGTCATCATCGCGCATGGTGCGGCAGTCAGGAAGGCGGTGTTCAGGCGAGCCACAATAGAAGCAGGAATTGAAAGGATAGTTGTGATAATTTGAGTGTGCCCAACGTGGCAGTGACTCATAAGAAGGGGCAGCAGCAACGGTATAAGTAGGAGGAGGTTGGGTAGTGGAAGGCGTAGCATACAAGGCGGTTGGAGGCGTAGTGTAGGTGGCAGCAGCAGCAACTTGGCGTCGACGGGATTCGGAGTCACCGGAGCCTTGATCCGAGAGGATGAGTTTGCGGCGAGAGGCGATGTTTAGAGTGTGGCGAATAGTAGCCTTGATAGCAGTAGGCGTGCATTCAGAGCCATCCTCGCGCGCCTTGAATTGGAGCTGGCAAACGGCGTCCCACACGTCTTTGTTGGCAACAAAGGCGTTAGAATAGAAGAGAATTCGAAAGAGCTCAAACGTTTTCACATGACCTTCGCGAGCCGTGAGAGCGTCGGCGTTCGCGGGGAGAGTTGCCGTTTCTATCGAATTGATCTGATCGCCGAGAGTAGTGAAGAGGGTAACGGCATTAATGTCCTTACTATACTTGAGTTGGGTGAGACTCGCAAACAAGATCATGGGGTCGCGGGTGCCGGCTTCATTGCGCGCCATAAGAGCGGCCCAGAGAGTGAAGAGAGAGGCGTGCGAACTGATGACTTGTTGGAGGATAGGCGTGAGGGAGTTGAAAAGAAATGCCTTAGCTTGGACGCGTAGGGCAGCGAGAGACTCCGCGATATACTCATCCAGAAACTTGCGCGTGAAGTCTTGTTCGAGGCGTTTCACCGTTGCAAGGCGCTGTTCCAAGGCGTCACCAGCATAACCGTCGGTGGAGTACTTCGCATCATTTCGTATCTTGTCAACCTGGACTTTGGCCTGGCTGATGGTGTAGGCGTCAGTTTCGATACGCGTGGGGCAGTAGGTCTCGTTGGTGTAGAGAGAGAAGAATTTGCGGTCACGGCCACTTCTTCAAACGTGGTGCGCCACGCAGCATAGAACTTGTAGGCGTCGTCGAGAAGAATGCCGGAGTAGGCGGTAATGGTCGAAGCAGGGGGGCTCATAAACTGTCACGAAGTAGGAAACAGGAGATACGCGAGGGTGATATGCGTGTACCGGTAGCAACTTTGCGCAGAGTGTCCAAGACAAACCAAATGTGTGGGACAGATGAAAACGAAAAGTGATATTCAGTCGTTTACAAACTATCTAGCTTCGTTCCTATTGGCTAAAACTCAGCCAAAGGGAAACACTGACTTGTGAGAATCAGCGCTCTTTTCCTTGTGCTAGAGCCGTGATTGGATGACCAATCACTAGGGTAGGGTAGCGACATGAAGAATATACATAACATGCAAGTATAAAGCGGTCAGTGTCTCGGCCTGTCAGAGTTGATAAACTAGGCGATAGAGTTTGTGAGACTTGATATGCGAGGACAACAGGCGTGAACACAGGCGAGGGAAAAGCACCACTTGACAGTTTCTAAACAAAGTTTCGAGACCGAATTTCTTATTTATTCTGGGTCCATCTACTTTGTTACTTCGTTGTTTTTACTTGCACTTCCATTCGTTATTACCGGTAGGTGCAGCAGCTATACGATAAATAGGCTAAATTTACATATTAGACAGATTTCGGAAGCACTGCCGTAGACTTCCCACGCACAGAAATTTTAATGCACGGGAAATATATGGCAGACCCAACTCATGATTTCGACAAAACTTATTTGCATTTACCACATCCGCATGAGGAACGATATCTGTATGCTTGCAAGTGTGGCGGCGAATCCACACCGCACATAGTTCCCTGTTGTTGCATATGCGTAAGCTTACTCATGTGGCCCCATTACCACAACTGGCATCAAGAAGGGGTCTTGTCACACACCTCATGGGTCCACAACTTTACTATCACTATGATACCGGTTTTTGCGTGCCACGTTGAGCAAGGGAGTGGCTTTACGACACCTTACGAAACCGCTTGGTGATTTTAGTTCATGATTAGAGGGGCGCAACTGCGTATGCCACCATGTCCACTTATTTGCACATGCGGATGATAATTGTGAGTTTTCTGTACGCTTCATGCGCCTACAGGCGAAACATCGAAGCCCCATATTCAAATCGTAGGAGTGCGGGCAGGACATCGAACCAAGGCAATTACGCCGACAGCTGGAGAAGGTTCAGGATAACTGGCTGAATGAATAAGACAAGATAAGATGCACGTAATCGCTCCACCTGAACTCTTGGAATGGCCCACCTTACAGTAGCGTGGAAAAGGCTGGACACCAGGCCACGTCGGGTTATGCAAGGTGACGAAGTGTGCATTAGGCCCCTAAACCAGATAATAATAAAACAATTAAATACGCATATGTTTCGGCGATACATATACAATACTACAGTTTTACTGACCAATTCACCAGACACATCAATCCAAGTTTACATCAGTGAAATTTGTGAGCAATGGCTAAAAATCTAAAAAATATTCAGACAGTGCCACAATGACAAATCCATTGGATGAAACGCAAGCCACATCAATTATAAGAATGGTAGACGTCAGCTAATAGATTATGATTGTCCCTCGCCAAATCGTCCAAGGCGCGAAAACTCAAATCATAAATACAATCCTCCTTCACTTTCAATTGTTCACCATGGTTCTCAATATCGCCGCGATGCTCACACGCTTGGAAGACCAAGCAACCTCCGACCGCGTCTTCCTCGACCAGTGCCTTGACGACTACCCCGGGATCGCTGAACACCAAGACAACATCCCCGATTCGTCATGTCCGGTCCTGGAGAGAGTCAGCAACGACTCCGGCGAAGAAAGCGTACGAGAAGAAAGCGTACGAGTCATGACGAACTTTACCCGGCGTGAGTTTGACGTGCTGTGGGCCGTGGCGGAGCTCCCACTCAAGGCGCGTTGGAACGACGGCCGCGGATCCAAATCGAACACAACACCAATGGACGCCCTCTTCGTGACATTGACAGTGCTTAAGCACTACGACACTTGGGAGAAGCACGCGTTGGACTTTGGGTTCAAAGCGCCCACGTTCCAAAAGCTGATTCTCCGAGTTGTCGAGGTGGTGATGCCTGTCTTCTACACTGAGTTCGTCAAGATGCCCAAGATGTCGGAGTTGCGCGCACAAGACCACACGTTTGCAAACTACCCCTACGCCCTCTATGCCACAGACGTCAAGTTCCAGCCCACCGAGCGACCGGCCGGACGCCATGGCGAAGCCAAGCCGTACTTTAGTGCGAGGCATACGTTGTACGGCTTGAAGATTGAAGCATCCGTCTCCCCCCAAGGCCTTCTTGTGGACATGAGCGAAGGCCACCGTGGAGCCGTTGCGGATCTGACCATCATGCGGTCTCGCATGGATCAGCACGTTGGAGCCCTGGCCAAGTCGGATAACGAGCTTAGCATCTTGGATCATGGGGAGAAAGTGGACACTTACCGAGGAATGTGAGCGCTTCTCCGTGACAAGGGGTACTACGGCGCTTCGGTGGACGTCCGTGCAATTCACCCCAAGAAGAACCCGCCGCGTGGCATCTTGGACCCTGATGACGTCGTGCGGAATCGTCGTCGTTGTGTTGTGGTCGAAAACTTTTTCGGTCGTGTCTGCAGCCTGCGGAAGGTATCTTATGCTACTTTCACATGGAGTACCAAGTTCTATGATGAGATTCAGCGTCTCACGTTTGCATTGACGAACTTCCATGTATCGTTGATGCCTCTGCGGGAAGCGGACAGACACTGGTACCGCTCTGTGCTTGCGCGCTATGAGTCTATGGTCCATGCTACGGCCGCGAAGTGTGCGAAAAGTCAGCGGAAGTCGCGTCTTCGTCGCATGCAACGAATTGCGTTGAGTCGTGGTCGTAACCACTCTCATGTTTTCACGTCTCAGTAATTGTCTACTCCAGAAGTTTTTACCTATAAGTACTTCAAGTATAAAGTTGTGAATACAACAGCGGACAGTTTGCTTTGAGTACAGTATTAAGATAGTAAACAGCTAGATAACATGCATGATATATACGTGCTAATACCCTTAAACGAGCAGGTAAGAGGGTTTAACATGCATATTAAAAAGATATAAGGGTTTTAGACGGGTAACGTTTTGGACGCTTTTTACCCGATTACCCTTGTTTTAATCCATTTTATACCTAAAAACCACGGTTTTTGCTGTGTTTAACGTGATTCGCATCCATTTGAAACTCATTTCTTATTCATCGTCCAGGCGTACTTTTATTCCAACAACTGGAACCACGATGCAAATACCCGAAATGCTCCCCGCTACTGTACATCAGATTGTGGCCGATTTCGGAAATTTGGTGACACTTCGGAAATATACCTACCTCTGTACATTCAGTTCACATTGTCAGTCGCGACATGGATGTTGCTGTGCAACTTCTTCGTCAATAATTGTTTCAGTGAGACTCTTTGAATAATCCTGGTCCACCTATCTTTTCACGATAGAAGTGACGAACTCGTTTTGCAACCTATTATTAACGTTATGCCCGACTGGTTGAAATCCACGATTTACACCCTCGCGGCTGTCGACTACTGTAAGCCAAAGACGGTGCCCTTTGCCGTACAAATGGCCGATTCTACGGCATCCCACATAAAATGTGACAGTTCCCGTAAACTCGATAAATTTTAAGGAGGTAAGTTGACGCGGCGAATGCACGGGAACATCTGTCTATTGTCGGTTAACCCGCTAGGATGGACGAGATTTCCCAACAGGATTAGCCAATTGCAGGTTAACCCGCTAGGATGGACGAGATTTCCCACCAGGATTAGCCAATTGCTGTAAATCATATTATACACGATTTACGAAACAAACACGAAACTAAATGTATGGAGTCACGAAAAAATTTTGTTTCGTAAACCAGTTATATCCAGTTATATCCAATGCAGGCAATCTTGAAGTTTGTATGATTTCTTTGTATCCAAGATATAAGCTGATTCACGAAACAAACACGAAATCAAGCTACTATGAACATACTAGTAGTAGAGCAAGTAGAAGGATTCACATAAAAAACGATGGGTCGCCGTGCACATACCACGAGCGTTACAGCTGACGATGTCATCGCACTACGAGTAGTAGAGGACACCAGGTCCCAATACGACTCTATCATAACGCGGTTCACACGCTGGCTTGAACGCGAGCACCCACTACACGTCGCAGCCGGAAAGCTCATACTCCCAGTGTCCCTCGGACTCTGCAAGCTGATGTTCTCGTATGCGTCGGTAAAGCGCACGACAGTGGGGTGTGAGGTCATACCAAGGAAGTTTAACTCAGTTTCGACAATCAATCGCGCGAAGAGTGCAATCATGTTCCTTCATCGTGAAGAAGACGTCGACATGACTGATGATATGGCTGCCATGATGAAAGGTATTAATAATATTGAAATTAGTATGTGTTACATGGTGAAGTATTGTAGACTATGTGTCTGGATACAAAAGAAATTTGCAAAGCTTAAGGATAGCGGTGAAGTCCCGATGACAGAAGGAAAAGCACCACTTTCTTTTAAAGGTAGATATTGTGATTTACACTACTGTTTGGGTACAACGCCAAAGAACGCTTTTCGGCATGGTTACACAACACGTGTGCATTGCACGAGGACGACATTGTGGCCATGGGCTTATCCATCTCAGACGTCGGCACGCATTCCTTCCGCAAAGGTGTAGCAAGCACGTTATCGAACACTCCGGGTGGTCCACAAGCCGTCTCCGTTTGGTTACGCGCTGGATGGAGCCTCGGGAGTGTGCAAGGTCGTTACATATTTGAAGGCTCCGGCGGCGACCAATTTGTCGGCCGCGCTGCTACCGGTAAAACGTTGTTGTAATAACTTCAATGAAATGCGTTATATTATTTGACCTAAAAATTATCTCCATTTTCTAACATTAATAATTAATTTCTAGGGTTGGATGTAAATGGCGTTGAATTTGGATCCCTGCCGCCACACTTCGGCACCACGGTGGTGCTACCCAGCACACAATGGGGGTCTATTTTACCTGGCTATGCATCACACTACCCGCAATCATTCCGAACGGCTATTCCATTTCTTTTGGCGTCGCTGGTATTCCATCAAAAGTGGTTGAAATCAACGTTGAGTCCAAAGCACCCCTTGTTCATGTCAGCTGTGTGGTCGTCGGGCTTGTTGCCATTACTTGTGACCGAGTTACACCATGGTAATCTTCACTGTCCTGCTAGTAGCATGGTCGCGTCTGGCATCCCCCCCCATGTTCCAATGTATCAACAACTCCACGAAGTTGTTTCCACCCTTGGCGCGGTTCGAACTAACCTGATTGTGGGATTTGCTGACATCCCTCGCCAAATTACCAACGCTATCGACACTAGTCAATTAGTGGTACCCCCAGCCCCACTCACGATGGATGGATTACGGGGGTCATTAATTCAATTCGGCGACAGTCTTGTTCGTCAAATTTCTAAACCACAGCCGTCGTTAACTATTCCAACCCCGACGACGACGTCAGTGAATGACCCTCTCGATATTCCGACCCAACGACGAAGTTGACCCTCGCGCTACCGTGACCCCGATGACGACGTCAGTGCTTGAGTCCCTGGTTGATCCCATTATACCTACGAGCAATCATCGGTCTATCCAAAGTGTGAATTGTCCATCTGGAAAAGTGTACGACATGTGGAACAATTTTTGGAGCGGTAATTTTGAGACTAACACTCCATCGCTACGAACATTACGCTCGAGTGACTTTGCCACCCAAAGAGGCCGAACCAACCAACCACTCCAAAGTGAAAAAAGTCATGTCTTCAATTATGCGCCATGAGCCTGCCTGACCGGAACAAGGTGTTTGAAGATTGTTACGGCTCCTTGTGCGAAAAGCTCTTTGACGAACACGATCTAACACTCCTGAGCCGCCGTAGAGCAACAGAATTGAGCTACAACACGATATACGATGCCATAAGAAAACAATAAATGCATGCATCTTTACAATCAAAATTCGCCACAACCACATGATATCACAACTTACCTTTGTTCGTGAATGGTTGATAGACGATAGTTGAGCACTGATGCCTACGTATTACATGCACGTGATGGGTTTGAAGTAGCAATGGATGAATTGCAAATGTACCTGCGATCGCAGCGACTGCAACGAGACTTGCGCGAGTTGGTGCCGACGTTGTGCTACCAAGCTATCCTAGATTGGCACATATGGTCATGTCCAGATGTGAGTTGAATACGTACACTGCATGCTGGCGTATGATGGATGTGGCCTTCGTCATGGTGATTCACCTGGCCAGTGAGGCAGGTATTCGAACGGAGACTCTGGCACTTGGGTGAATTTGCGTCCTGAGGAAATTCTACAAATCGTTTAGTACTACTACTAGTAGGTGTTTCGTGAATACCCAAATAAAAGGTAGTATTTGCCCCACTCCAATTTCGAATCGACAATACAATAAATAGTATTAATGCAATGTTTGCTCCTCGTGTAGGTCAGATTGCTGCATCCGTTGTTGGATAAACTCGAATCAAGATGCCGTCGGACGCTGGCGCAACCACGCGGGCCCTGTCGGACAAAACACTCGCTCGGCGTCGATACTTTCGAGAGAAGCAGCGTGAGTATCGTCGGAAGTTGAATATTGATGGGGCGGTCATCGAAGCAGAAGTTGTACACCTTCAGTCGGTCCGTGATGGCCTTCAAGCCATGAGTCTGCCGTCGGTGCGTGAAGCTAGCGATGGTCCGTTGTCGTGGTGTTCCATTGCCATGGTGTTCAAAACTGAAGCCCGTCGTGTCTTGACGGACCGCCAGTCACTGGTCACTCAAACGGAACAGTACCGAACCCTCATGACGTCTATGCAGCGCTTTGTCATGATGAACATTCCGGTAATGTGTGTTCACCTTCCGTCGTCATATGAATGTGCGTTTATGCATATAGCCGCCCATATCCCGCAGAAATGCATGGCACAACGCGACATTGGTGGCCGAGCCGAGTGCTCGAAGCCTGGGCAAGGAGTGGCTCACGCAGCAAATGTACCACAACATGCACGAGGCGTTCGCGTTATTTCCTGCCGTGGGCAATGCCGAGGAGTTTTGCCAATATGACGTGCAACCGTCCGAGGACGGCGGTCCAATCGTGTCCACGGAAACAGTACAGTGCACGTGGCCAGGCACGGTGCAAATGTTCCGACGCTTTGTCGAGTCCAACATGCGCGCTGTGATTTTCAGGGACCCCCAAGAGGTACGGCTGTATGTATATTCTCTCTCATGAACGTACTTTTAACGACTCTTCGTATTGTTTTTTACCCAAAATTTGGACGATTTTTCGATGGAATGTTCTGTATGTCAAAATTGTATCCGTATCACACTAATTGAAGTCACACACTAATTTCACATCGGCGATGGTGTGCTGCAATCGGATTGGCTACATACTTCTGTGTCTATGTTTGGGTTGGGTCGATGATTCCTTCTCCTTGTGTCGGTCCAGTTTAGAGTAAACACAACCATATCTCATAGTATGTGTGATGCGGTTTGAATAGGTGGTCGAAGAGCGCACGGCCAACACGCGCCTCTTCCACTCGGTCACAACCAAAGGCACGTTCGTGAACTCGCTGCAAGGCCATTTTGTCGAAGCCGACCGGTTCATCATGGTCATGCGCCAAGTCGAACACGACGAAGTGCATCTGTGTGACCCCCTGCGCAGGCAGCGGCACTACCGGTCGTGGTGGGTGACTAGTGTACGAAAAGAGTGTTGCTATACGATGGTTGTAGGATAGAGGTACGGCAGGAATCCACCTCGCACATCTTGATGCGCTTTGTCAGTCATTCGTCCCACGCATTTCGACCCGCCAACGGATATGTGAGCATCGACGAGCTCGCGGCGCTGTGCGGCATCGATGTGACGGGCATCGAAGACGACGACGAGAAGGCCGCGTACGTACGCCTCGAGCTCATCCGACGGGGAAATGCCGATTTCGAACCGTGGCGAAACTGGTTCATGGGCTTGATGATGCAAGCGTCGTTGCAACAGCCAGCACCACGCGCCAACTAACTAATAATGATCCCGGTGGATGATATTACAAGCAGAATGTGCCCGCCGTTTTTTTCTTGTTATAGTATTGTGCCTTTCAGTCAAATATGTCTATATTTTGGGGGATAGATGAAATCGCCGACATATCGAGCAAAGGAGTATGATTGGCTATAAATAATGAAGGTTGAAATATGATTGGCTCAAAATATTGATTGATGATGCATTGAAGTCTCAAAGATAACTCTTCACTGTCAACTTAGTTTTATATGAAATTCACCGAATCGAATGACGAATCCACGCTATTGGCTAATCCATTTTTGAGTGGATTTGATTGGCTCTTGCAGAAAGGCAAAAATAGATTCAACCAATCAGAACTCCGGCATGATTCAATACTTCTCCCTGTCGGTCCAGTTTAGAATAAACACAACCATATCTGATAGTATGTGATGCTGTTTGAATAGGTCCCCCAAAATTGGCAAATTTGGGCAATTGTACGTAGCTACGTAGTACTAGTAGTAATACTATTGCCACGGAGTACTGTAACGTTACTATTAATACATACAGTATAGTGACGGATCTCGGGCGAATTGTAAGGCCTGTCATGAACAATTTCCTCATTAAAACAGCTCCACAGTTGTTTTCACCCGAAATACTGTTTCAATGAAAAAATTATACAATCCGAAACACTTTTTCGCCTGTAGCCCTGTAACTAGGACTCGGTCCAGTACCCCCGATAAGTACAAACGATGCGAAATCCCCGGCGTTACCTGCATCGCCAGTGGTTAGCTATCGCTACGACTTAGATGCACTTGACCCCTAAGTTAGTAAGGGCCCGTCTGGATGCCACCCACCAATATTATGGGATATTGGAATATTGAATAAAAAACATTTTTCGACATTCCAGGAAATTCTTGGGTTTTAAGATCCAAGAATGATTTTGGGTGGTGTGTCTGGATGCCATAGAATTAACTATAAAGTTCGGAAATGAACAGCCAATCAGAGGATAGCGCAGAGCCGCAGAGGACTTCGCCCACCCAGAGAGGACCACTGAGGATGGACGTCCTCTTTCGTGTCTTGTGGACGAAGGCGAGGTAGTGGTACTCCATCTGTCTGGCGAAGAGTTCCTTGGCCAGGCGGCGGCGGATGAGCCATCGACGTAGGAAGGCAATCACGATGGCCTTTCTCATTCCGAAATGCCCAGTCAATTCAACTATCAATATCGTCAAAATATTCTACTCATGAGTAGAATATTATTTCTTGTGGTTTTCACGATATTTCTGATAAAATTATGGAATATAACTTGGTCAAGAAATGGCATCCAGACACGCCAAATTGAAGTCGCTGAGATTCTTGAATATTTTGCAAAATTATCGCGATATTTCTCAATAAAAGTGGTACTAGTATCCAGACGGGCCGTAAGAGTTTACTAATTCCGACATAAAGATGCAATTTTTAGTGGTTTCTGAGAAAAACACAGTGTGACTGTTCATGAGGGAATTGTACGCTTTTAAACCCTCAAGCTTGTGGATGACTTGTTGGTGAAGTGAAAATTATATTGAGTACGTCAAAGGGATGCCACCTGCATTACATGACGCATTGAATAGTCTTAAGGGCCAAGGCTTTACATCACGCTCGTTCATTCGTGGTTATCAATGGACGTGTACTAGTGTGAGGTGTCGTGCTACTACTATTGCGACGACGCCTGCATTAAGCTCGTGAACCGTTGTCGCCAAGGCACGAAATACGCATTGCCCAATCGGATCAGTTCGCGCCGAACGTACTCGTCCTTCTGGTCGTCGTCTTCGATGCCCGTCACATCGATGCCTCCCAACGCCGCTAGCTCGTCCGAGCTGACAAACCCGTCGTGGGCTCGAAACGACCGAGACACATGACTGACTAACCGCATTAAGATATGCGTGGGCGACACCTGTCGCACCTCGATCCTATGACGTGGCATCACCAAACAACATCTCGCTCCAAGTGCTAGAAGTTCATTCTTACCACGATCGGTAGTGCCGCTGCCTCAGCAGGGGGTGGCACGCATGGGCTTCGTCGTGTTCGACTTGCCGAAAGACCACGATGAACCGATCTGCTTCGACGAAGTGGCCTTGGAGCGAGTTTACGAACGCGCCGTCGGCCGTAGTGGTGCAAAACAGTCGCGTATTGGCCGTGCACTCTTCGACTGCCTAATACATCACGTATGAGTGGACAAGTTCATATCAGAATACAGGTCGACACACAAACATAGTCTTGCCTTTTGGGGTTCTTTAAACATAACTTCGCGCATGCTGTTGGATTCCATGAATCGTCGAAACGATGCTAGCGTTCCTGGCAAGATGCACTGTATCCTTTCCAAGCCCACAAAGGACTCGTCTTCGTCCGACGCTTCCAAGTCAAATTGGAAAAACTCCTCGTCATTCCTCACGGCAGGAAGCAACGCCAACGGCTCGCGCATGTTGTGGTACATTTGCTGCGTGAGCCACTCCTTGGCCAGGTTTCGAGCTCTCGGGTCGGCCACCAACGTCGCACTGTGCCACGCATTGCTGCGGGACATCGGCGGCTACATGCACAGACGCAATGATCTCACTCGCCTGCCTCTATAGAAGGGTGAAAACGCACCGGAATGTTCATCACGACAAAGCGTTGCATGGCCTTTGTGAGGGATTGATACTCTTGCGTTTGAGTAATCAGTGGCTGGCGGTCTGTCAAAACCTGAAGGGCTTCTCTTTTGAACACGGTGGCTATGGAATACCAGGACAATGGACCGTCGCTAGCTTCACGCGGTGCCACTGACGGAGGCATGCTGGCTTGAAGGCCGTCCCGAATCGATTGAAGGTGCTCGAACTGTGCTTTGACAATCGCCACGTCAGCATTCAACTTGTGGCGATAAATGCGCTGCTTCTCTCGAAAGTATCGACGCCGAGCGAGTGTGTTGTCGACAATCGTCAGGAACGTGTCCGTGCTGCTGGCGTCGGTCGCGTGCGTGCTCCTTATCGATGCCATTCTGGATTTACAGTTAGTCCACCGATGTGATTGGTGCAATCTGACCTACACATGGAGCAAACATTAGTACCTAAAATCCCTTGTTTTCTGTACAAGTATTGTGGTATACAGTGATCATCCATACTATTAATACTTCGAAGTAGTACCTTGAATGGCTTGGTCAGCAATACTCCATGTCGCAGACCAGCCCCTAACCAGCCCCTTAAGGGCTGTTAGGGGCTGGTCTGTGAAAAACCCAAGGTGATTCATGTAATTCCCGGCCAGCAAATGGCCAATCACAAACATCCATGGACGATGATAGGACAAAATTACGTACTCTTGTATCACATACTTGTAAGATTTACTAGTAATATTCTGCGTGTCCGACATGTAATACAGTTTTTTATATTAGTTGCATTTCTAAATTTAATTACTTGAATACTTTATACATATCATTATTAAGAGGTTCTGAGGATTTTGTCACCCACATCAGGTATACATTATTCAAGTGACTTACTGCTGGAAATTAAATTCACACAGGGAAATTTCAATTTTAGAAATTCGACGAGCAAATTGACCATGCGATACAAAGGATGGGACCTGCATAAAGTTATAAAGCTCGTCACGAACTTCAAAATGCATGCTTTCGCAGCCTCATCGGATGAATGGGTGACGAGTTATGGCACTCAGACAAGTAGGCCAAGCTGGTCGGGAATTACATGAATCACGGAGGATGAGGAGAAGGTCGGGATCTATGAAGAGGTTTGCTAAACTTGATATTTCACTGATCTTTTTGTAGACATAGTATAGGGCAGAGGTTGGGAAAGAGTTATTTTTGTTGGAATATATTCATTTACTTCGAAGTAAAAGTATAAAATAAATTATTCTGAAATTCTTTCAAAAGAATAAATAATTCGTTTGCACTTCGAGAGAGAATAAGTATTGACCAGGATCTCTACAAAAAAATAAGTATTGATTTTTGGAGAATTATTCTCATTGTCACAGCAACAGAGAGCTCTGAGTGTCCTCTCTCCAATGAGCCGATCAAATTTGATTATTTCGAATTCCAAAGGGCGACACCACGTTTCCAATTTACCTTGTGAATTTAATAGGTCACACAGTCATAAACGCAAGTGTTTCCGAATAGATGCCGTCGTCTCCAAAGGTCTCTCCGACTGAAGAAGAATCGAACTTGCTGATAAAGAATGGAGTCAACAATTGAATACATTGCTTATGACGATCTATGTCGGAAGAGATCAATGACTTCCATATTTTGGAATTGATGCAGATACTGATCAAGTCCGAAGAATATGTCAGGAACACATATAATGAACAAAATTTAATTTATACTTGATGTTTGTATGCAAAATTTAATTTATACTTGATGTTTGTATGCAAAAACGT